GTACGTGGGGCCTTGCTGTATGCAAATGAGTGTACTGTGCTCATTTAAGCAAAACAGTCACTACAGTAGACAGTGGACAGTAATTACAATAGTGTCTAGAGACTATTGGACCTAAAAGGCAAATCTCTTTCTATCACCCAGAAAGAAACCCAACACTCACTTTACAGATTCTGTCAGCCCTCTACTGTTCATCAATAACATGAATACTGGATTCATATCAGGATCCTGATCAAGTTAAAGTTGGTATACTGTCTTTGCTGCACTCAAACATTGATCTCAAGTGATTGGTAGCTGTGACAGACATTTCAACTCCACTCAGCTACAGGGAAACCTTTTTTTAAAAATCTACCAGGCAATCCTAGAAGCTGCTTTAAACTTCTCATTCCTTGACTTGACTCTCACACCTAAGGAAAAATTAAACTAGTCCTGGTCGAGTTACATTCCACCACCTTTTGGTATAGCTCTGAGATGGTGGCAGAGCAGGAAACAGAACACTGAAATAAATCTCCCCCCACCTTCCCCCTCCCCACCTCCACCACCCAGGGAGGGGTGAGAACAAAGTGTTAAAACAACACACAAAAGTATCTTTGGCACGACAGAAAATTCTTGAAAATAACCCACTCCGCCCAACCTGGCAAAAAGCCCTATTACAATCAAGGGGCTTCACATTACCTAGAAATGACAGATACAGCAGTGCAACTGCTCTCTACCCAGGGTACATTTACCTCATTCGTAAACGTGAAGGTCCCGTCTCAATTCCAAAGCCCTGTGAATGTTGGAACAAGTCCAGGAGTCTAATACATTATTAAATTTACTGGGCTTGACCTCAGGGTAAAATGTGCAGGCGGAAAATTAAGTGATGTATAATTAAAAATTGTGTGACTACGGTATCAAGAACTGAATAAGGATTTGGTTAGTTACTAATAACTCAATGAGACATAAATGCTTTGCCCACTAAAGTGGCAAAATGAGCCCTCATTCCCCCTACACTTTGCTAAATACTCCCAATCAGTGCCTCACTTCCCCTCCAGAAAAAAGGATTTCAGCAACATTCTCTTTCTGATGTCCTCATGGTTTCTTAAACAGCAGTCAATGGATAGACCCACTAGCTCCTCTCTCTCTAAATATATATATAAATGATCTGGACATGGGTATAGGTGCATAATACATTTACAAACCACACAAAAGTAGGGGAAAGTGACTAAATATGAAGAAGACTGTAAAAGGAACCTCAAGAGTACACAAGACAGGGTAGTGGGTTGGGCAGATGGATGGCAGATGAAGTTTAATGCAGAATATTGTGAATATATACATTTGGGGAGGAAGAACAAGAAATGGAAAAAATCTTTAAAGTGAAAGGGCAAGTTGAGCAACCTGTAAAGAATAGCTAATAGGATACTAGGTTTTATAAATAAGACATTCAATACAAAAGTAGAGATAATAATAAACTGCACAAATCATTAGTTAAGCTGCAGTTAGAGTATTGTGTTCAGTTTTAGGTGCCCCTTATTAAAAGGTTGATTGCTGTCAAACATATTGACTGGATCCTTATCCTTCAGAGGATCCAGTTCAAGATCCTGGTCCTCACCTACAAAGCCCTCCTGGCCTCCCCCACCCTAACTCTGTGATCTCTTAACCCTCTACCAACCTGCTCGCTTCCTCTGTTCAGCCGGCTCTGGCCTGCTCCACATCCCCCGCCCCACCCGCCCCACCGTTGGCGGGAGAGCCTTCAGCCACTCTGCTCCCAACCTCTGGAATTCCATCCCCAGTCACTCCGCTTCGCCCCCTCTTTAGCCTCCTTCAAGTCCCGCCTCAAAACCCTCCTCTCCGACCATGCCATCGGCCACCCCCCTTCCCCTCCCTTCTCCCTCCCTGACCCCAGCTCGGGTCTAAAATGCTGTACACTGTCCAGCATCTTGGGGCATCCTCCCGACATGAAAGGTGCTATACAAATGTAATCTTGTTGTTGTTGACTGTTTATCGGTGCCAAATTGCATATAGCAATATACCACAAAAAGCTGTGAGGTCATCTGAACAGGCAACCAGGACATTGGTTGAATGTCTCATCCAAAGACCAGCACCTTCAGCAATGCAATGCTCCTTCACCACTGTACTTTATCAACCAGAAAATGGGCTCAAAATTCTCACAACCTTCTGAACTGGAGACAAGAGTGCTACCAACTAAGCCAAGTGGACATCTTGAATATTTGAATATGGATCTACCCTAACCTAATGGAAGATAAAGAAGCAAGGACCAAGTACATTTCTCTAATACACGTCATGACTCTGATAAAATCTCAATATTTGATGGTAAACTATTGAGTAAAATCCATTCCAGTTACTGGTAGGACCCAGATACTGCGTCCAGTTCCCCTTCATGCATATATCCTGTCTTGAATAATTTCCTAGTGAGAATCCTCTCTGAATGAACTAATTAAAACCAGAAGACAACAGAAATAATCAATCAAATCAACTTAATAGATAAAGTATATTTAGCAGAAGTGCTACTCACAAATCGATTAGTACTGTATCAGTGAAAGTCTAGTTATTTAACCACAACTTTTCACTAGACTCTGGTCAACTGGTCATTTACATAAGACTGAGCCAAGTTAAGATTCTCAGAATAAAGTATTCACAATAAATTGTCAAAAGAGTTACTCAAAAGATCCCTCTAGTCATAATGGGTTAGAGATCAATTGATGGGTACAAAGAGGTTTAAAACATGAAGTGAGAAAAGGTGTTAATTTTACAATATTTGTTGAGTCCTGCGATTCAAACCTCAGAAAAAGAGTAAAAATAGCAGAATATATCTGCATTATAAGTATTTGACCAAAATTGTGAAGACCCTTGCAACAGTTTACCACAAACCACTAACACATTTTAATGTGTTAATACGTCATACACATGCCATATTCAAATGGTCACAACAGTTTCAAGGTTAAGTACGGTAATCATGACCATACTGAATGACAGATAAAGTATTTCTTTTCTTCCAAAGAGACGTATTTGTAATATGGTTTCATGGGATTCAACAAGGAGAATAAGAGGGTCAAAAATATATGGAGAGTAACAGCAGTACAAGCACGGTACTGACCAACACATCAGATGCTATTCTTCAAACCTTGCTTTGATGAAAGCGCACCACTAAAAATACATGAAGGTGAGTTGTTGGCCTTTAGTTTAACAACTGTTGGTTTAATAAAAAAATGTTTTGAATGAACCGAGATCATTTTATATATCTATCTTTTTGACTGTGTCTTTAGTCATCTTTCTCCCCCAGCTTAGGTGACCAGTCAGCCACCTCAAGTGCTTTGAGACATCTCCCTGACTTGACAAGCACTATATATACACATTGTTGTCATATAGAAAATGAACTTTATCAGTTATAACTAATAATCTTTTGATGGAATCGATCATCATTCAGCTGAACTTCCCAACTCACATCACCAATTTTAACATGTTTGGATGTACAGTATTCAGATTTACTAACCGCTGTATGTGAACACAGCATATTAATGAGTTCACCAGAAAAAAAATCCATTCCTGAAAGCTCAGTTTTCACGCCAATACTTTATGTGCCACCTGTTATCTCACAACAGGAATAAGCAAGGCAGGCAGGACAGTTACAGCACTTTTAAAAAAAAGTGTCATGGTACAACCCCCCCCACCCCACACACTTTTTACCTACTACAGTAATAATCCGTCAACGTCAAGACAATTTATAGGATTTACTTTTCCATTCATTTGAAATGCATTTAAATGCAGTCACTGTAACTAATCCCATCTCATGGTTACGTAACCTACAAAAGTGCAATGGAGTCCTTTTCCATGCAATAGGCTGAGGCAGCCCAAATCGTTTCTTAGAAGCTAACTGTGCAGAGGAACCACTGTGTTGGTATTGCATCAGGACTTAGATAGGGCTGAATTAGAGCAACATGTCTAACATGAGGAATCCCTTCTGGTTTCCACCAGCCAAAGTTTTGCAAGATGTTGACATAAAACAATCCCATCACCACGAGGAAGGCGGAATATTCTTCTTAAAGCTTCAGAGTAAGCTCACCAGTCTTTATTTGCAAAACAAAATGAAGTGTTGTTGTGAGGAGCCAAGGAATTCATTTACAGGATATGCAAAACGGCAAAATAACGTTGTTAAAAATAAAATAAAAGCACAAGCATTACAATCAAAAGCACAGACAGTAGATGATTCCTGGAAGGGATGCAAAACAGTGCTCCAGTCCAACTTGCAATGGATCATTCAATGCAGTCAATGCAACAGTCTCAGAATGTCCGTCAGTGCCCTCATCTCTGCGGCCACCAAACACTCGGCGTCTTTCTCTCTCCCTTTAATTCTATGACTGTCTGTGCCTCATTGACAGGACACCCCTGAGAATCTGTCAGTCAGTCAGTCAGTCAGTCGGTTACTTCTTTCACTCAGACGGTGTATGGATCTGTGTGTCTGGGTCTGTGTCTCTGTGTGTGAATCTGTCTGTGTGTCTGTATCTGTGTCTGTATCTGTGTCTGTGTCTGTATCTACCTGTCTGTGTGTATCTGTCTATCTGTGTATCTAGTGTGTGTGTACCTGTCTGTGGGTGTGTGTCTGTGTGTACCTCTGTGTGTGTGTATCTGTGTGTGTGCGTGTACCTGTGTGTGTGTGTACGTACCTGTGTGTGTGTGTGTATCTCTGTGTGTGTGTGTGTGTACCTGTGTGTGTGTGTACCTGTGTGTGTATCTGTGTGTGTGTATCTGTGTGTGTACCTGTGTGTGTGTATCTGTGTGTGTGTGTACCTGTCTGTGGGTGTGTGTCTGTGTGTACCTCTGTGTGTGTGTATCTGTGTGTATCTGTGTGTGTGTGTACCTGTGTGTGTGTGTACCTGTGTGTGTGTGTGTGTACCTGTGTGTGTGTGTGTACCTGTGTGTGTGTATGTGTGTGTGTGTGTGTGTGTGTGTCCTGGTCAGTCAGTCAGTGTAAGTGGGGCTGGTCCCAGTCTGACAGCCTTTACCTGCCCAGTTCTCTGCCCAGGAGCGTGTAGTAGTTGTTGAAGTTGTCGGTGCAGATGCGAGTGTGGATGTGGGACAGCAAACCGCTCCGGGGCTGGGTCATCATGGTCAGGGCTGGCAGGGCAGGGCTGGCAGGGCGGGCAGGGCAGGGCAGGGCAGCCCGGCTGGGCTCTGCTCCTGTCGGCAACGGGAGGGAAGCAGCTCCTTATACCAACACTAACCCCAAACAGGGCTGCCTGCTGCCTCTCTGCTCTCCCCCTACTGCCTGGTGTCTCTGCTCTCCCCCTACTGCCTGCTCTCCCCCTACTGCCTGCTGTCCCTGCTCTCCCCCTACTGCCTACTCTCCCTCTACTGCCTGGTGTCTCTGCTCTCCCCCTACTGCCTGCTCTCCCCCTACTGCCTGCTCTCCCTCTACTGCCTGCTGTCCCTGCTCTCCCCCTACTGCCTGCTCTCCCTCTACTGCCTGGTGTCTCTGCTCTCCCCCTACTGCCTGCTGTCCCTGCTCTTTCTCTATTGCCTGCTCTCTATCCCTACTGGCTTCTCTCTCTCTCTCTCCCTGCTGCCTGCTCTCTGGTGCAGCCTGCCCTGCTATAGCATCACCATGGTGATAAGCAGCTGATTGACAGCCAAGGGAGGCAGGAAAGGCGTCCCCACTGGCTGTTTCATTTAAAAAGGCAATGTCTGTCCTCCACTTTGGAAGAACGTTGTAATAATAATAATCCTTGTACAAGTATTTGCTGTAGCGCCTATCACTTCAGGAGGCCATCTCAATGAGCTTCACCTGATATACTGGGTGGAGGGTGGGAGTAGGAGGGTGACTGCACATTTTGTAGGTGAACAAGCCAATTTGCGCACAGCAATATTCCACAATTAGCCATGAAATAAATGGCTAATTTTATTTTGAGCATCGTTTCACCCATTCCCATTCAACGGTAAATTCAGTGTTTATAAATATATAATCCTTGCACTTGATAGAGCACCTTATCATGTCGTCGAGACGTCTCAAAGCGCTTCATTTTGTTTTCATTGCCACAAAGCAGGACACCAGGACACCAGAAACTCTCTTCACTTTTCAAACAGTGCAATGGAATCTTTAGTGTCCTCCTGAACAAGCAGAACCTACTTCAGTTTACAACAACAAGTTACATTTGTATGTCGCCTTTCAGGTTGGGAGGGTGTCCCAAAGTGCTGGACAGTCAGAGATTTGATTAGGATGGAGGATGGGAGTAGAAGGGAGAAGGGTGACTGAAGGCGTGGTCGAAGAGGAGGGTCTTAATATGGGCCTTGATAGAGGCAAGGGAGGGAGCAAAGCAAAGGGAATGTGGGATGGAGTTCCAAAGGATGGGGGCAGAGAAGCTGAAGTCCCGACCGCTGATGGTGGAGCAGGGATCACGGAGGAAACCGGAGCCCACTGAGTGGAGGGAGTGGACAGGTTGATATGGGGTTAGCAGGTTCCAGAGGTAGGGTGGAGCAAGGCCGTGGAGGGTTTAGAAGGAGAAGACAAGGATTTTGAACTCTATCCTCTGAGGGATGGGGATCCAATGGAGCCGGGCAAGGATGGGGGAGATGGAGTCACAGAGCCTGGTGTGGGAGAGGATACGAGCTGCAGAGGTCTGGATAATCTGCAGTTTGTGGAGGGAAGAATTGGGAGGCCAACAAGCAGGGAGTTAGTTAGTGGAGCCTAGATGTAATGAATGCATGTTTAATGTAATCCAAAGGACAACACCTCCAACAATGCACTATTATCAATACAATGGAATGATTCCCCTCTGATTGTTAACCAGGAGAATATTAGATGTTTCCTTACACCAAGGATTGAAATGTTTCCAAGTGGAGGATCATGCCCGGAAAGTTCTCAATCTTATTCAATGTCAAGAGGAGACAGAGGGTTTAATTTGCAATATTTCCAAAAGGAGTGAAAGTGTGATTTCCATTTTGTCATGTTTTATCCTGCAAATCAAAGCTCTAATGCGTAGGGTGGTCCTTGTTGGATAAACAAAGGGAAGCTTGCCAGATAATGCTCTCAATGGCAAGCTATGTGATTTTAGCTGGTTAAACTTCAACAGTACCCCCAACACATGCTCTGTCCCCAAGCCATGGCTCTTGTCAGCTTGCGCCTAATACTCTCCGGGATTAGGTGAGCAGGATGCATCCCTCCAGGGAGAGTATGCATTCCATTCCTTCATCCATGTATAAATCAGATGTATGAAACTCTCAGTTTGGTATGCATGCTCTGAAGCACAGTGATGGGTTTCCAGACATGTCAGACACCTCCCAAAAAGGTCAAAATAAAACCAAGTTGAATGAATTTGCCTTTTTCTGTCCTGTCCTGCAATTGACATTGATAGTGGATTACCTTCAGTTTAGATGATGTTGATTTGCACCAAGCAGGGGATTGGGATCAGGTGCGGTGAAGGGCAGGGAGGGTAAGGGTGGGAGGGTGACAGAAGGGTGGGGTCTTGAGATGGGCCTTGAAGGAGGCAAGGGAAGGTACAAAGCAAGGAGAATGTGGGATGGAATTCCAAAGGGTGTGACAGAAAGCTGAAGGCTGACCGCCGATGGTGGGCCAGATTGGGTGGCGGATGTGAAACAGGAAAGCGGAGGCAGCGGGCAGCTCGGTATATTGTTAGCAGGTCACAGAGGTAGGGATCAAGGCTGTGGAGGGTTTTGAAGGCATGAATATAAAAAATAACATTGTCTGAAACTCAACTGTGAAACAATATACTTTTTGTAAGATTATGATTTATAATTTGTTTCCTTATAAAATATGCATTGTTAAAACCATTGAGGTTACTGAGATCTTAATAGATGTGCTCAGTGCAATTCTATGAAAAATATTAATAGCCCAACACTCGACTTTTGTGAGGAGAGATCCTATCCTTTGCTGCTTTTCTTCTTTCCCTGACAACGTGTGTAAGACTGGGAAAATTACCTCCTGCAAACCAAAGCACAAAGGTCAGTTAAGATTACAACTTGAACTTTACTTTAGTGACGTAGACAATAGCCTGGGTCATCCAAACACATGTCCTTGTCCTTTTGTGCTAAGTGTTACTCAATGGGAAACACTTTAGAAAAAAAGATGTGAATGAATGCTCCTAAGGAAACTGTTAGTAGTCAAAAAGCACTTGAATCTGTCTTGGTTGACCTTTTGAATCAATCTTAGTCACTGACAGTGTATAAGTATATGGTATAACCTTGTAACATGCCATGAAGCACAAACAGGTTTATTTCCCCTTAAGAAATGCTGAGAACAGTAAATCAATCGAGTCAGTCCTCAGTGTTGGTCTTGATCCTGTTACTGAGCCAGATGAGCCCATAGAGCTCCACAGCTCAGCAACCGGACTGGGGTGGCCCTGCTGATTGCAGACCAACTAGTTTGGCTCATTGGTAGGACATGTAGGGGCAGACTGGGGGCAAGGATTCTTCCCTCTCCACTCCCATTAACCCTGCAAGTTAAAGCCCTAGTGGGTAGGGTGGTCCTAGCTGGACAAGCAGTGGCAGCCTCTCAGTTAGAGCTTTCAATGGCAAGCTGTATGGTTTTAGATGCTGAATCTTAAGCGTGCATGCTCTGGGGTCCCCAAGCCTTGGGTTTTGCCACTCTGCACCTAACACAATCTCAGAATTAGGTAAGCAGGATGTGTTCCTCCAGGGAGAGAGTTTGCATTCCATTAGAGACACAGGAAAATTTCCATGTGTAGGCGATATACATACATAGAACTCAGCTTAGTTTGGATACTCATAAGAAAATTGATATGTTTCTGCATATCTTAGGCACCGGGCTGACAATAAAAGGCTACGGGGGGAGAAGGAGTGTGAAAGGGGTGAAAGATGTCCAAAACCCAATGTCAAGGTGCTAGGTGTTAAGGCCGGCTTTAAAAGTGGAAAGCGGACACGTTGGAAGGGCTCCCAGCTGGAGTTCCAGAGAGGAGACAGAATGACTGAAAATGATAGATCGGAGTTGGGGGAGACATGAAGCAGATCTCTGTTAGCTGAGCAAAGGGAGCAGCCAGGTCACTAAGTAGTTCACAGAGGCTGGATAGGAGACAGTCAAGAGATTGGAACGTGAAGATGATCTTGAATTTGATCTGCTGCACGTGGGGAAGCAGTAGAGTTGGGTGAGGATGAGGATGATAGGTTCACAGAACCTGATGTGGAAAGGACAAGTTCTGAGTTCTGGATGGTTCTAACATATAGCACAGGTATAACGTTATTTCACCCCCAGCTCGGATGTCCAGTCAGCAATGTCCAACGCTTTGAGACGTCCTCCTGACGTCTATAGTGTTAGTCCCATGGTGAATATTACGCATCCAAAGAAAAAAAGTGATTTTATATGTACATGCCAACTAACAGCTGGAGGTTTACTTAATTATACATCTTTCTTGAGCTTCTTGACAGATCAGCCAACAACTAGTGGAAACCCAGTCTGAAACCACCCACCCCAAGGATAAAACGCAGCTGACAATTATTCATTAAAGCACCACATACTGAATGAGTTACGACAGACTCCCTCCAGACCTCAGTGAATTCAAAGTCATACAATCTCCACTTCAATATTCAATATTTTCTTCTGAGAGGGATGTATTAAACAGGTGAGAGACCATTTTTATTTACCTGGCAACGTGACTAAAGGCCGCCCAATTCTCCTGATGTTTGATGCTGGAACAATGCTGTCGCAAAAGGAGAATAAAATTCAAAAAAGGCCTATATTCAGATTTATTGCTGCCAAGGTAATTTGAACAGTAACTCACATCAGAGAGTCTAAAAAAACTGCCACAGGAACACATCATCATAGGCACAGATTATGGCCTTCAAAAACTCACACCAAGAGAAAAGAACAATAACGTGAGTTTTTGCAGTGACTTTCACGTCAAGGAATGTCTCAAGGTGCTTGGCAATTACAACAGCGGATACTAAACAGAAATAAAAGATTTGCAGATGTCAATTTTTTTTGGTCAGCCAGGTGTCTGACACATGCAGAAACCCACGGTGGAGTCCTGTAGCTTAGAGGTTAGAACACTCGCCTTGCAAGTGAGAGACCTGGGTTCGATTCCCAGCAGGGTGAAATGTTAGGCAAGTTTCCGTATTCCACATGCCTCTGTTTACCTAGCAGATCGCTTTTCTGGTGGAA